GGTACCTGGGAGGTGCTTACGCCATACACGGGCAGTGGCTGCTGCCTGTGTCCGGGTCAAGACAGTGGGCAGAAGACAGGCCCGCAGGGAACAGCCTGCTGAGCCCCTGACTGCTGCTCCAGATTGTGCAGCCAGGGGCCTCGGTGCCACGTCTCAGTGCCTGGCAGGCTTGTCTGCCCAGACTTGGGCCTCCGTGCCACCTCCTCTTTCTCTGCGGGGTCAGGGGTCTGGGAGCAGGCTCTGAGCCTCCACTTGTCATCTGCCCAAGAATTCCTGGCCGTTGGCACTTTGCAGTGCCCTCTTATGTCCCCGCTCTGAGGGCTTGGAGTCCTTTCAGCAGAAGCCATGAGGCGCCCTCTGGCCTGTGGCTTGTGATAGGTGGCCAGTAATGACCACGACGGCCCCGCCCGTGGAGTGCTCAGTCTGTATCACCTCCTCTTCCCACCAAGAAGGAGATGGGTGCAAGACTGCGAAGCCTTTGCCCGACCCAGCGGGCAGTGGCGGGCCGCACTCCCCCTGGGAAGGTTGTAGACGGTGACAGATCCTCCCTGTCAGGATGCTTGTCCTGCAGTGGCAGGGAGCAGGGCGCCCCCCTCTGCTGCCGCTCGGCTCCGGCTGTGCCTCGGCCCATCGCCTCTGCTGGACCGTCCACTCTCGCGGGGCGCGGGCCAGCGGGGCCATGTCCCAGGTGCCTGTGGTGACTGCCTCACGAGGGAGGCGGGGACCCTCCTTGTTTCTGCTGCCCCTTTTCTGCAGGCGGCGCACGGCGTTCTGTGTGTGACCTTCAAGATGGAAATGGCTGGTGTGGGTCTGGGCTAGGTGCTGTTCACTCATGTTCTCTGTATGTTCGCAAACAGGTGGGCGGCGGGGCGCATGGGCAGCCGAGGGCCAGGGCCCATCCCTGCAACGGAGGGCTGCAAAGGGGGTCCCAGGGCCGCCGGCACAGAGGGCTGGGTGGGGGGCCATGGTATGGGGTCAGACTCCACCACGTGACACCAAGTCCGGGGCGGGGGTGGGGGGGTGCTCCCAAGCCCTGATCTCAGTGGGGGACACCGACCCGCTGCCTCCGGTGGGGACCTGGAGTCAGTTCATAATGCGGGTCTGTATCCCACCAGCCGTCCTACGTTAAACGCAGGGGGGTCTGCAGTGGGTCGTCTGAATCCACAGCTCAGGGAACTACTTTCTCTCTCATTTCCTCTGAATTTTCACCGAGGGGCTTTTATCTTCCCCTAATCCTGCCGGTTCTGTCAGGACATAATCTCTTTCTCACATTTACATTTTAATTACAAGGCCAGCTGAACGAGGTGGAATCAATACTGTCAGGCGGGAGCCTAAGTTTGTGTGAAGCCCAGCCTCCATTTCCTGCCATCGATCCGTCTCCTGCCCTGTCTGCTTCAGGCAAATAGGTGCCACTGGCCAATTCAAACAGAAAGGGGGTTTGGACGTTTTCATGATTCTTTCTAAGAGCAGGCGTGGCACAGAATTTGCCCAAGACCCTGCACTTGAGTCAGACCCCTGGTGGTGCAGCAGGTGGGTGGTGCAGCGGGCCGGCCCCTCCCCTGCAGTCACAGCCGCACCACCCCCTGGAAATGCAGCCGAGGAGCGCAGTCTGCTTTTTGGGTTTTCACTCTGAAAGTATGTCAGCGAGATTGATTTTCTACAACAATGTAAAAACGGTAGTGTGTTTTAGTGCCCTGAGTATTTACCCCGCTGTAACACGCTTACCCATCTTTTTAATGGTTTAAAACAACAAATCAATGAAAAGTATATTTCATTCTTGTAACTCTTAGGAATCCTCATATTGATCCTTTGGCTGTGACTGTATCCATCTAAATGCCACAGTGTCCATTTACCAGCCTCGCCTCCCTCCTGTCGTGTGGCGCATGCGAGTGCAGGGTGGCGGTACTTCTTGACAAACACCGTCAGAGCCCCGAATGGGTGTTTCGGCGCTTCTGTGAGCTGGGTGGGCCTGCGACGCTGTGTTGATGACAGAGCCGGGTCGGGACCCCACAGCCTCCTCCTGAGTGTGCCCAGGGCTTCAAAGCTCATGCGCTCAGGTAGCCAGAGGTGGACCCGGTCACCTCTGGCTCTGTCCTGTGTCCTCCACTCAGCTCAGGACCCCAAGAAATGGAGGTGGGCCCCGCACTCACACAGCAGGGCTGGAAGGGTGTCTGGAGCCAGTGTGGGCAGATGTTTTCTGTGAAAGGCCCAGTAGACGTTTCCTGCTTGTGGGTCAGTGCAGCCTCTGTCGCAGCTGCTGCCTCTGCAAAAGCTGCACACAGCATGAGCAGGTGGCAGGGGCTGTGCCAGGTGAAGCAGGCGGAGCGTTGGGTTTGGCCACCCCAGCTCCCTGACCTGTCTGTGGCCCCTGCGAGGCAGTGGAGAACAAGAGGCAGTGGAGAACAAGGCGTGTTGGGCTGGCCCTGCTGCAGAGCCACGCCCAAGGCAGAGGACCCTCCCTGTGGGCAGGCCTGGCCACCAGCATGGGCCAGAGCAGTCTTCCTCTCTCCTTCCCTCCACTTGCGTCCCTGCCCCTTCCCCCAGGAAGCACTTCCTTGTGCCCAGCACTCAGTGCCGAGTCCGTTCCCTGCTGACTTCTGTCTCAGTTGAGCGGCATTGGTGGGTCTGCAGGTAGATGGTGGAGAGAGGAACGTAGTCAGTGAGACCACGGCTTGTGTGTCAGCACACACAGCGTCAGAGCGTGTGCGCATGTGAAGCACTTCATGTCTGCCAGGTCCCCACGCCTGGAATCCCCGGTGCCCTTTGCTCTGCTCCTTATGACCACCCCGTGGCCCAAGGACACAGTCTGGGCGGTGCTGGGTCTTCGGAAGGGCTTGGTCTCAGGACTTGCCACGTGGTTACCTGGCAGCTTAGTGTGTGCTCAGAAAGGGCTTCTCAGACGTGCAGCTTGCGTTCTGTTGGCGTGAGGCTTCTGACCTGCCGTGTCTGCGCCCCGGGCGAGTGTTGTGTGGTGAGTGTGGCCACGTCCTCCCTGCAGTGCTGAGCGAGGCTCCGGGGTCCCAGGTGTGTGTGTCTCCTTCGCCTCTCACGACGCCCTCCCAAGGCCTCGGCTCGCATTGCCGCTGGCAGTGCTGCCCACAGGATGCTGGTTGGAAAGTCGGCCTCCTCTCTCAGGAGGTTTTCAGGTCTTTCTGTCCGTCTTGACTGTTTTCTTCAGCTTCTGCGATGCCCGCGGGTGGCCATGCTTTCCTTACGGTTTCTCTCCTGGGCCCGGCAGTGAGCGCGGCTCCCAGCGTCTCCCCTCCCACCTCCAACCTGGCGGAGCGGCCCCTGTGCTTTGCTCCCAGCGCCATCTCACACGTGCCACAGCCCCAGGCAGGTCCTGTCCCCTGCCTGCCCATCGTCTGCCAGACATCTTCACCACCGCGTGCTCCTGTGAGCTCTCGCACGTCTCCTGCATCTCCACCCGCGCTCAGACAGCGTGTCCGCCCAAGCCTGGCCTCTCGTCCCCCGGCACCCGCGCACTTTGTGGTCTTCCCGTCCTGGTAGCTCTTGGATCTCGCTTTCTCTCCATTCATGTGCTGCCAGCTCTGAGTGGATGGAAGGCTCCGGTGGTGTCAAATGCGGCCCTCATCCTGTCCCAGGGATGTGGGGGCGGACACTGATGTACATCTCTGGCCATTTTCCTGTGGGAGTCAGGGAGGGGCCAGCATCGGGGCTTTGGCTGGTGGCAGGCAGGGTGTCTGTCCAGGCTCAGGAGTAGACGGACCTCTGTTTCAGGGCTGCAGGGAGACCCGCCTGCGCAGGGTGTGCGAGTGAGGACGAGGATGGGTGAGGAGGCGTGTGACCCCACCTCCACTGCCGCCCAGCTCCAACGGCTCCAGGGCCACTTGCCCCGGCACCCCAGGTGACTCCCAGACGCCTGCCTCTGCCCAGAGCTTGGCCTGCTCCTCGGCTCCTGGAAGGCAGCCCCAGCCGTGCATCCGGGCGGGAGAGCACCTGCACCGTCTGTGCCCACGGCAGGGGCTCCTCGAGCGCTGCCTGTCGCCCAGGGCACGGGAGGGGCTCGAGGCTCTGGGGTTCGAGGGGCAGACGTCAGGGCACCCCCAGCCTAGGGTGAGGACCACAGATCCAAGGCCAGCTTCCTGTGCAGCTCCCTGGGGACAGTGGGGGCCGGGCCTCTCCCAGGGCCTCGGTGGCTGTCCTGGAGACTGACCCAAGGTAGTAGAGGTCATTGCTGAAGTGCGCTGACCCCAGGCCTGTGCGCAGGGAGAGGGAGAGGGAGAGACAGGTGGCTGCAGCTGGCTGAGGCGTGCACGGTCAGTGCGTCCTGCTCTGTTCTGTGGCCCCTCCAGGGCACCCCTGGAACCAGAGGAGGCCGGGAAGCTGGCAGCAGAGCGGGCCCGGGCTCCCGTCGTGCCCTTCGGGGTGGACTTGTGTTACTGGGGCCAGGAGCAGCCGGCAAGTGGGAAGGTCCTCAAGTGAGTACAGACCCTCAAGGTGCCGGCCCAGCGCATGCGGGCTGTGAGCTGTAGAGCTCCTTGGGCTTTTCCTGACCTCACTGCTCCCTGGAGAGACGTCCCTGTCCTCCCATCGGTCAGGTGCCGTAAAGCGTGAGCTCACGACTGCCCTTGTCAGGACTGCGCTTATGGGCCAGGCCAGGCCCGGGGCTCTGCCAGGAGCTTCCCAGAAGCCACCCTCGCTGTGTGTCTGTGGCTATGGCGCCCCTGCGGGGGGTGTGCGTGCTCATTGCCCCCGTCCATCCTGGAGCATGTCCCAGGAGCCCCCGCCCGAGCCTGTGCATCCTGCCAGGTCCAGGCCGGGCTGCTGGCCCAGGAGGCAGGTGGGGGTGTCTTGCGTTGTTGCCACCCAGGTACCTTCCCATCTTACTCTGAGGCTGTAACCAGGCCCAGAGGTCCTGGGACGCACCCCTCAGGCTGCCGGCCCCGCCCCACGCCGCCCCGACGGCTCCCACAGTCTCTGTTGCAGGTCTGAGTCTCAGCACCGCTTCTGGAAGCCGAGCGAGCTGGACACAGAGCTGGACGGTGCCCAGGTGTCACAGGTGCCCCCAAGCCGCCTCATCACCTTCGCAGGGACATTCGAGCCCGTGCAGCACCGGTGCCGAGCCCCGAGGCCCGACGGCCGGCTCTGCGAGCGCCAGGACCGGCTGAAGGTGAGGCAGCGGCTGGGGCCTGTGAGCCAGGTGGTGGTGCCTGAGGGAGGGCTGGGCTGCAGCCCACGGTGCTGCTGCCACTGCCCTGGTGAGGGCTTGTCTGTGGCTGTTCGTTCTGCGTGTCGCCTCCCTCCACTGTGTGTCTGACCTACTCTGTCCTGGGCCTGGGGAGGAAAGGGAGGTCGCTTAGGCCAGAGTGACTCGGGCGCCAGACTCCCTTCCATCCCAGTCTGTGACGGCAGCGTCCCAGGGCCCCTCCTCGGGGGCAGTGGCTGCGGGTGGTGTGCCAGCCTGCTGAGGGCCGAGGCCGGCCGACTCAGGAGGAGTGAGAACTGCTCTGTCCTTTGCCACAGTGCCCGTTCCATGGGAAGATCATCCCCAGAGACGACACTGGGCGGCCCCTCCACCCAGAGGACAGGGCCCGGGAGCAGAGGCAGCAGCTGCAGAAGCAGGCGGAGTGCCCAGGTAGGCCGGAGGGGGGCGGGTGCAGACACCGCGGGAGGGGGCAGACTGGACCCCGACGGCCACGGGGCAGCCCTGTGCTATCTGTGCATGGTCCCCTGCCACCCCCCAGCGTGGCTGTGTGCCCACAGGGAGCTCTCAGGATGCTCAGGCTTCTGGGGGCCAGGTCTCCATGCAGCTCCTGACGGGAGATGGGGGCACACCCAGACTGGAAACCACCCGTCGTCCTTGTTTGGGCTCTGGGCGCTCAGTCAGGTGTTTGCAGCAGATGAGGAACTAAGGCGAGGAAAGGCAGTTGGCTGAGCCTGTGCTGCTTAGAGGAAATGGGCTCGTTTGCACTCTCGCAAAGCCCCTGGGCGCCCTCTGCAGGGGGCCGGCAGGAGGGCTGCTGGGCAGGGCTGGCTGCGGGCACATGGTGTGTGCATGGTGTGACGCACGCATCTGCGCTGCGAGTGTTAGGTGTGCGGTGTGTGCGTGTCTGGGCAGAAGGCGAGCGGATGTGGGTTTCCACAGAAGGCTCTTTCGGGGTCCTTATCAAAGCTCCCCATATTCTGGACAGTGGGCCTTCAGTTCAGATGGCCAGTGGGCTTCAGCCACCTAAACGTCCTTCTCAGGACAGTCCAGGGAGCTTGTGTCATCATGGTACGTGTCAGCACTGTGTTGGGGCACATGCCACGGGCTGGCCACTGCCCAGCCCCCAGTGGGGCCCCAAACAGCAGTGCCAGGTGGTGACATGCAGAAGTGGCCGTCACTGGCTGGGCAGCATGTGGGCACACTCAGAGTGTGGATTGAATGGAGTCTAGAGACCCTGGCCATCTCGGACGCCCTCTCTCCCCAGTCCCGAGGACGGCCGAAGGTGGCTGTGTCTGTGGGGGCAGTGCTGGCACCGTGTGAGGGTCCCAGCTGGGCCACATTTGTCGTCATTAGTGGGGTTTTTCCCTTTGTCATAAGAGACAAATACTAGATTTCAGCCTGACACCCAGGGTGGGCGCCTGGGCCCTGGGCCCTGGATGGTGGCCAGGAAGGAGGGCTCCCGACCTGCTAATCCGTGGGGCGGGCGAGGCCTTCCCTGGGGGCTCACACTGGAGCAAACCAAGTACCTGTTTTTCTGTCCGCCCTGAAGAGTATCTGGTTCTCCAGCCCGCGGTGATTTGTTAACAACAGGTATGGCCGTGGCCGGGCCGGTGCGGGCCAGTCAGATGTGAAATAGCATCTCTTCACTAACTGCAGTATTGATCCCACCTCCCTCGCACACGGGCAATTTTCTTTTCCCCGGCGCTAACCTCAGTGACAATGCACGCGGAGCTCCAGGGCCGTCAGCGCAGGAAGGCCTCGTGCCCCGGCATCTATTGATTTTCCTCAAAGGCTTTTAAATTGCTCCTTCATTTTACTGAGATGCTCATTCCATCTCTAGCGGGTGCCGCGTTTTCCCGTTGTGTTTAAACAATTGCTCCATTCACTGGGTTCCTAAACTGTGACGCCTTCTTATTACTGGGAGATAAACTGTTTAGACAGTTTTCCTTAATCTTGGATTAATCGTCTCTGTATCTGAGCTGTGCAGCCCCGTCCTTCACTTCAAAAAATCAACCTGGGAGGCTTCACCATCTGTCTGTCTGAGGTGTGTGGCTTCTTCCCACGCTGCACGTGCCCTGCTCACATTCCGGCCCTCGGAGTTCCCGTTGCGTGGGGGGCTCCATCGGTGTGTGCAGTGTCCAGCGAGCCAGGGGTGCTGTCTGGGTCTGGGCACATGGGGGACTCTGTGCCACCATTCCTGAGCTGCGTGGCCTTCCCAAACTGGCTGGGCTGGACCGACCCCGCATTTCCTGGGCCTGTGTGGCCGTTCAGAGAGGACTGGCCTACTGTGGACGCCGAAGCAGAGGCTGAGGCAGGAAGTGGCGCCCAGAACCAGGGCTCTGGTGGGGTGGGGTTGGACCCTTGGCCTCTGACCTCGATGCCTGCCCCCTGCTTCTGGGGTGGAGCCCCCCACACACACATTTAATGCTTTCAGCAGCCTGCACACGAGCGTGCAGGCCTGGCCTGGGGCGGCCTGGGGCCAGGTGCCGTTGTTTCCCCTGGGGTACTTCTGCTGCCCCTCGGGACCTGGCCAGAAGGGAGACAGGCAGTAAGAACAGGACTGTCTGGGTGAACGAATGCGCTTGTTGTGACACCTGGGCCCAAGTTACTTTTGAACCAGTACAGAAAGCCCAGCCGAGGCCTGGTGGGCGCAGCCTTCAGATAGCAGTTCCCTAACCGCTGGCCTCAGCTGCCCTCCTGTCGGACGAGTCAGAGGATGCACCAGGAGTGGCCTCTGGGACCCGCCCAGCTCCTCTCTGGCCTGTGTGGGTGCAGGGCGGTGGGAGGCTGTCTACCCCCCGCCCCCCGTTACAGGTTGAACCAAGTGGCCCCTGTCAGGGAGGGTTGGCGCTCGGGCAGGAGGCACTCTGGTTGGTACCAGGTGTTTCCTGAGATCTTGGGGTGTATTTTCAGACTGGCAGGACCCTGAGTTTATGAGAGACGTGGAGGCGGCCACGGGTGTGGATCTTGGCTCGTCCCGGGTTGGCAGGAGAGGCCGAGGCAAAAGGAGGCGACACCCTGGCCTCACCGACCTCAAGCAGCGGGCGGATACCTCCCGCACACGCATTGCCAAGAAAGTCTTCGCTAAGTAAGAGCCCCTCACCTAGCCCCTGGATTTGGGGGTGCTGGAGGGGAGCCAGCCCAGTTGCAAGACATTCCCGAGGCCTCCATGGCGTGCCCTGTCTGCCTCGAGTTTTTCCTGTTACCACCAGGCCCTCGGGCAGGACAGGTGCTCCCAGCTAGGCTGTCCGTCAGGAGTAAGGCCTAGAGCTGCTCACCCCAAGGGGGACAGACTAGTGTCTTCCCAAGTGGGGAGCTGGCCAGTGCAGAGCCAGCTCTGCGTCCTCCCTTGCCTGGCTGACCTGGAAGGCTGGGCACTGGCCTGGCTAGCCCCTCATGGTCCGCGCCTGCGTGTCCACATGGTATCTTCAAGGAGGCCAGTTACCTTCAAGGCCGGCAGGACAGGGGTCACTCCATGGGTTTCAGCCCAACAGAGCTCGGCCGGTGTCACCAGCAGGCTGCTCTCACCGCCAGCTCGGGGTGGGTCAGGCCATATCCCCAGCCCAGCTGGACCAGCCTGGCTGCTGGGGACTCAGACAGGCCGCCGCCCCAGCAGCCCACTGCCCGTCCCACCCCCGTGGTCAGCCAGAGGCTCCCACCACGTTCAAGTTGTTGCCAGAAAGTATTTAGGGATTTATTTAGAAAAGCACATGAGGCCTTTGCTCCCCTCCTCGGATTTATGCTGAGGCTTCGCAGGTGCCGGTCTCTTAGGCAGCCCCCTCTCTCGGCCCTGGAAGGTGCTGAGCTCAGCGCCCAGGCAGAGGAGGCCCCTCCTGCCCTCCTGGCCCGAGTGGGACTGGAAAGGAGGGCACCTTCCCCAGTGCTTACATGGAGCCCCACAGGCTTCTCACTGCTGGCTCTTCCTGGCCCCCAGGCTCTGGGCACGAGGCTGGTTTCCCGTGAACTAGCCAGGGGTAAAGGGCACCCTGGGTGCTGATGGGAGGAGTGTCCTGCCTGCATCCTCCATGGGGCTGAGAGATGGCGCTCTCCCTACAGAAGGGCCGGGGTGACCGAGCCCTCGCAGAGCGCCAGGGCCCCTGGAGCAGCACCCAGCACTCCCTGCTTCCTGGCCTCAGCGGCTTCTTCCCGGGCACAGGCCCTGCCAAGCCCAGACCCCACCGTCATGGCAGTTCCCTGGGCAGAGACGCCCTTGATCTCCTTGTCCGCATCTTCTCGCTGTGCGTTCTGAAGCATCTCCCTACAACCCTGGATGTGGATGGGCGGTTTGAGCCCCGCGTGTCCCAGCTCCCCACCCGTGCTGAACATGGGCCCTCGTCCTGGGGCCCAGCCTGGCACCGGTAAGCCACCTTTGGACTCGGAGCATCCGAGCTGCATTGCTCATCAGCTGGGAGTCTGCGAGCGGTCCGAGAGTGGCCGGTGCCGCAGGACCCGTGCCTGGTCCCAGCCAGGCTGTGGTCAGGAGCCCAGAGCCCTGGGCATGCCTGGTCACGTCTTGCTTTGCTTGGCTTTCCCCACAGGGCGGCCGTGCAGAGGGTGGTCACTGCCATGAACCGGATGGACCAGAAGAAGCATGAGAAGTTTGCAAACCAGTTTAACTATGCACTGAGTTAGAGGGCCAGGCCAGGCGGGCTGTGCTCCCCTGCGGTCGGTCGTCAGCTCCTCGTCCAGCAGGCACTTGGATGGGTGCGCAGACACGGGCCTGCGCAGTAACCGTGCCACCATTGCTGTGTGTGAAATGTGGGACACGATGCATGTCCTGACTGAAAGGCCCAGGGTATGGACGTCCCCCGCTGCAGGGGCTCCTGCCAGCCGGGGTGCTCGCCTGGCCTGCCTAGGAGGCCCTCGGATCCCGGAGGGTGAACTCGGGCAGCCGTGCCCCAGCGGGGTCCTTGCAGCGCCTGAGCGTCTGTGAAGTGGCTCAGAGGTGATGAAATGGCCCCTGAGCTCAGCATTCGGAATGTGTGTGGGCCCCTGACCCCCGTTTCCCAGCCCGCTGGGGCTGGCTGCTCAGAAGCACTCTAGACAACCCCCACTTTTATATAAATGCTGATTTTAACCCAAACAAAGGAAAGTGAATCATTTACACTGTCACACCCTGTGTGTCCAGCTTAGGACAGCTTGGTGATGGTTCTGGGTCAGGATGCAGAGAACTACCTATCTTTTTAAAAACATTATTGAGATACTGCTCACACTGTAACACCCACCCTTGTAAAGCCTACGACTCGTGGCGTTGGGTACGTTACAGTCTTGTGCAGCCCCCGCCACGGTCTAGTTCTAGAACTTGTCCCCTCAAAGGAAGCCCCGCGCCCACGAGCAGCCCCGCTCCCCCAGCTCCTGGCTCCCTCTGATGTACTGTTTGTGGATTTCCCTGTTCCGAGCACTTGGTGTGATTGGAGTCAGAACGTGTGGCCTTTTGTGTCCGGCTTCTTCACATGCAGTGGCTTCAAGGCTCATCCACGTTGTATGTTGCAGGTCAGAACTTCTTTCCTCTGTCCTGCCCAGTGACACTCCATCCAGTGTCTATTCATTCATCACTAACATTTGGGTTTTCACATGTTTTGGCCGTTATGAATAATGCCGCTGTGAACATGTGTATATGTTTTCGTGTGAACATATATTTTTATTTCTCTTAGGCTTAAACCTAGGAGTGGGTTGCTGGGTCACATGCCAACTCTTTAATTTTGTGTTGAACTGTTGTCCACAGCGGCCGCACCACCATGCATCTCCACCAGCGGTGCACGAGGGTTCCTGTGTCCCCGTATTCTTTCCCCCCCCCCCCATATTCTTACAAGCACTTGTCATCAATCTCCGCTGTAGCCGTCCGAGTGGGTGGTGTCTCACTGTGGCTCTGATCTGCGTTTCCCTGATGGCTAGTGACCCTGAGCTCCTTTTCACGTGCTCACTGTCCACCTGTGTATCTTCTCTGGGGAGATGTCTATTCGGGTCCTCTGCCGTTTTAATTCGGTTGTTTTGAGTTGTAGGAGTTCCATACGTATCCTGGATAGCAGACCCTTACGTGGTTTGTGAATATATTCTCCCATCTTTTCACTTTCTTGATAGTGCCTTTTGAATCATAAAAGTTGTTAATTTTGATATCCAGTATATCTACTTTTTCTTTTGTCACTTATGCTTTTAGTGTCATGTCTAACAACCATCGCCTAATCCAAGGTCATGAAGGTATGCCCCCTATGTTTGCTTTTACGAGTTTCACAGTTTCAGCTTCTTGTTTTCCAATTACAGTTGGCATTCAGTATTATTTTATATTAGTTTCAGGTGTACAGCATAGTGGTTAGACATTAATTTATGAAGTGATCCCCCAATAAGACTAGTCCCCACCTGGCACCATACACAATTATTACAGTATTACTGACTATATTCTCTATGCTATACTTTACATACCGATATAGCTTCAGCTCTTAAAGTTAGGTCTTTGATCCATTTTATGTTAATTTTTGTATGTGGTGTGAGTTAGGCTTCCAACTTTATTCTTTTGAGTGTGGATATCCAGTTGTCTGAGCACCATTTGTTGAGAAGGTTATTCTTTCCCCCCATTGAATTATCTTGACAACTTTATCGATCATCAGTTGTCACAAGTGTATGAGTTTCTTTCTGGACTTTTATTTCTATTCCATTGACTGGCCTCATGCTGATGCTATGATGTCTCCATTAATGTAGCTTTGTGGTAATTTTGAAATTGGAGAGAGTGAGTCCTCCAACTTTGCTCTTTTTCAAGATTGTTTTTGTTATTCTGGGTCTCTTACATTTCCAAGTGAATTTTAGGATCAGTTATCAATTTCTGAAAAAAAAAAAAAAAGCAGTGGAGATTTTGATACGGCTCACATTGAATCTGTAAATCACTTTGGAAAATGTTGTCATCTTAACATTAAATTTTCTGATTCAGGAACTTGGGCTATCTTTCCATTTATTTGGATCTTCTCTATTTCAGCAGTGTTTTATAGTTTTCAGTGTACAGGTTTTGCACTTATTTTGTTAAACTCATTCCTAAGTATTCTTTTTGATGCTACTGTAAATATCATTGTTCTCTGAATTTCATTTTTGGGTTGTTCTTTGCTAATATATAGCAATACAACTGATTTTTGTATGTTTGTCTTACATCTGCAACCTTGCTGTTAGTGTGTGTGTGTTTGTGTTCCTTAAGGTTTTCTGTGCACACAATCATGACATCTCCAAATAGAAATGTTTTATTTCCTTTCCAATTTGAATTGCTTCGGTTTCTTTCTCTTGCCTATTGCCCTGGCTAGAGGCTCGAATAGCAGTGGTGAGAGCAGGCATTCTCATTTGTTCCTGATCTTAGAGGAAAAGCTTTCAGCCTTTCACCATTGAGTGTGATGTGTGCTATGGGTTTTTCATATATTACTTATTATGAGGCAGTTTCCTTCTATTCCTAGTTTGGTGAGTGTTTTTGTCATGAAGGGATGTTGAATTTTGTCACATGTTCTTTCCACATTTATTGTAATGATCAGTTGTCTTCTTTATTCTATTGAAGTGTGTATCACATTAGTTATTTTTCATATGTTGAGCCATCCTTCCCATCCATCGGATAAATCCCACTTGGTCCCGCGATGTATAATCCTCGTTATGTGTTTCTGTATTGGTTCACTAGTGTTTTGCTATTCCATTGAGCTAGTTTGCTAGTGTTTTGTTGAGGATTTTTGCATTTATATTCATAGGTAATATTAGTATGTGGTTTTCTCCTGGAGATGCCTTTGTCTGGCTTTGGTATCAGGGTATTACTGGCCTTGTAGATTGAGTTCGGATGTATTACCTCCTCTTCTGTTTTTTTTGGAAGAGGTTATGAAGGGTTGATGGTAATTCTTTAAATATTTGGTTGAATTCACCAGTGAAACCATTTGGTCCTGGGTTTTCCTCTGTGGGAGGTTTTGATCTTGTTTTATTACTAATTCAGTGTCATAGGCCTGTTTAGATCTTCTGTATTCCACTGTTAGTCAGTTTTAATAGTTTGCATATTTCTGGGAATTTGTTTCATCTAGGTTGTTATAATTTGTTGGCATACAATTGTTCATAGAGTTCCTTTATAATCCTTTTTCTCTCTGGAAGGTTGGTACAACTGATTTTGGAGATTTAAGTCCTCTCTATTTTTGTATTTTTTTGGTCAGTCTAGCTAAAGGTTTATCAATTTTACTGATCTATTCAAAGACCAACTTTTGGTTTTGTTGCTATTCTTTATTTTTCCATTTATTTTATTAGTTTCCACTCTAGTCTTTATTATTTCCTTGAGGTTGCTTTAGGTTTAGTTTTAATTTTTCTAGTTTCTTAAGGTGAAAGCTTAGTTTATTGACTTGAGATCTTTTTTTTTAAAAAAGATTTTTATTGGGGAATTGGGGGAGGGGAACAGTGCTGGGGAATCAGGGGAAGGGGAACAGACAAGTTGCTGTCCTTTTGTTCTTCAGTCTAGTTGTGGAGGACGTCGCTTCACTGGCCCATGTTGGTATTGTGATCATTGCACTCCTCCTGGCTGAGGCAGATCAGTCAGAGGCAGCCTACGCCGTTGCCGGCGACTCACGGCAGCCCAGCTCCAGGTCGAGCTGTTGTTCACCATCTTAGCTGTAGAGGGTACAGCGTCACTGGCCCTCATGTGGGATCTGAACCAGGGCCCTGCTGCACAGAGCTGGCGTCCCAAGCCAGCTCTTAACCAACGCGCCACTTGGCCGGCCCAAGATCTACTTTTTAATGTAGTATTTTCAGCTGTAAGTTTCCATCTAAGCACTGCTTCAGCTGCATCCCGTGAGTTTTGGTATGTTGTGTTTTCATCTTGTTTTATCTCAAAGTATTTTTTAATTTCTCTGGTGACTTCTTCTTTTACTCATTGGTTATTTAGGAGTTTGTTAATTTCTATATAGTTGTGAATTTCCCAAATTTTCTCCTGTTATTTGAGTTCTAATTTCATTCCATGGGGCCAAAGAACACATCTTGTATGACCTCGGTCCTTTGAAATGAGAGACTTATTTTATGGCCTAACGTATGTCCTGTCCTGGAGAACGTTTCATGTGCACTTGAGAAAACGTGTGTGCTGGGTGTTCTGTAGATGTTGTGAGGTCCCGATGGTTAATAGTGTGTTGAAGCCTTCTTTTTCCTTGTTCATTTTCAGCTCGGTTGTTCTGTCCATTATAGAAAGTGAGGTACTGTTGAGTTGTCTATTCCTTCATTTCTGTCAGGTTTTGCCTCCTGTATTTTGGGGCTCTGTTGTTGCATGCATACAGGCAGACCTCAGAGATATTGTGGGTTCAGTGCCAGGTCACCGCAATAACCCGAGTCACAGTACAGCGAGTTGTAATCTTTTTGTTGGTGGAGGGTCTTGCCTCAATTTGCAAAAAACGTAACATCTGTGAAGCGCAATAAAACGAGGTGTGTCATGTGTGTTTATACTTGTTATTTCTTCCTGATGGGTTGGCCCTTTTATCTTATAAAATGGCCTTCTGTCTCTAGTAACCAATTTTGTCTTACAGTCTCTTTTGTATGATATTAGTATAGCTTTCGGTTGTTGTTTGCATGGTATATCTTCTTCATGCTTTGACTTCTTATTTTATCTCTGAATCTAAAGAGTTTCTTGTAGACAACATATAGTTGATTGTTCGTTGTGTTTTTAATCTAGTTTGCCGATCTCTGCTGCTTGAGTGGAGTGTTTAGTCCACTTACCCTTAACGTAATTACTGATAAGGTAAGATTTATGTCTGCTTCTTTTCTATTTTTTTCTGTTACGTTTTTCTTGTGTGTTAAATGGATATTTATAATACAATCTAGTTTGAATTACTACCAAGTTAATCTCAGTGGTGTACAGAAACTTTGCTCCAGGGTAGCCCTTCCCCTCTCAGCTCCTTTGCACTATTTTTACCATGCAAATTAAATCTGTATAGATTGTCAGCCCATCAACATAGTCTTATAATTATTGTTTTATGCAGTTGTCTTTTAAATCATACAGGAAAAGAAAAGATTTACAAGCAAATACATTTGTATGTCTTTTATTTGGCTTTGTGGGTTGCCTTTGCTGGTGCTCTTTATTCTTTCTGGGGATTGAGTCTAGTGCCTTTCACTTTGTCCTGAAAGACGCCCTGTAGTATTTCTTGTAAGGAAGGTCTGCTAGCAGTGAATTCTCTCCATTTTTGTTGATCTGGGACAGTCTTCATTTCTCCTTCACTTTTGAAGAAGTTTTGCTGAATACAGAATTCTCGTTAACAGCCTTTTTCTTTCCACACTTTTGACTATGCCATCCCTCAGGCTCTGGCCTCCATGGCTTCTGAGGAGCCAGCTGTTACTCTAATGGAAGATGCCTTGTACACAGCAAGTTGGGTTTTCTCCTCGCTGCTTTCAGGATGCTGCTTTGGCTTTTGATAGTTTGACTATGATGTGTCCAGGTGTGGACCTTTCTGTGTGTGTCCTGCTTGGAATTTGTTGAGCTTTTTGGATGTAGAAATTGTTTTTCATCAAGTTCGGAAGGTTTTGGCCATTGTTTCTTTAGCCGTTCTTCCTGCCCCCTCTCCTCCCCTAGGAATCCTGTCGAGTGTGCATTAGCATGGTCAGTGGTGACCCACTGGCCTCTGAGATGCCGTTCCTTTCTCTTCATCCTTTTGTTTGTCCCTCAGACTGGACCCAGTGACCTATCTTCAAGCTCCAGATTCTTTCTTTTGTCAGCTAAAATCTGATGAGCCCTTCTGGTAAATTTTTTGTTTCAGTTCTTACACTTTTTTTTTTTTAAAGATTTTTATTGGGGAATTGGGGGATGGGAACAGCGCTGGGGAATTGGGGGAAGGGGAGCAGACAAGTTGCTGTCCTTTTGTTCTTCAGTCTAGTTGTGGAGGACGTTGCTTCACTGGCCCAAGTTGGCACCATCATTGCACTCTTCCCGGGCGAGGCAGATCAGTCGCCGGCTTCTGGACGGCCGCTCACGCTGGCTGCTGGCTACACACGGTAGCCCATGGCAACCCATTGCCACAGGGGCTGCAGCCTACGCCGTCGCTGGCGACTCATGGCAGCCCAGCTCCAGGTCGAGCTGTTGTTCAGCATCTTAGCTGTAGAGGGCAGTGTCACTCGCCCTCATATGTGTGATCCGAACCAGGGCCCTCTGGCGTCCCAAGCCAGCTCTTAACCAACACGCCACTTGGCCGGCCCCAGTTATTACACTTTTTAACTCCAGACTTTCTACTTGGTGCTCTTCTATAATTTTTGTCATTTTACTGCTAGTCTCTTATTTGGCAAAACGTCATTCTT